CTCAGTCCCTGGTCATCATGGTAAGTCCGGCAGCATGCGAACATCGTGGGATATAATTATAAGAAACTAGAGGGATCTCGAGCTGATCTTCCTTGTCCAACAAACAGATATCCGAAATCCGCAAAATGCAGCGTGGCTCGCAGGGTTCCGCTACGCCAAGAGAAAGGTCTTTGTGTGAGTCCGCTCGTCGGCAGGGATCCGCACAATGATGACTCTGAAACTGACCAAATACCTTGTCGGGTTCTCAGCCAAACGCCTACACTCAACGCTCGACCTATCGTTCGAGCTGTCAAGCAAGCTTGCCGAAGGGGCGTTGACGTGGTACTTCTGCTTGATCTGGGTAAGTGCGAACGTTCAAATCGTTCCCCATACTTGTCGAGCTGGCGCCGATTACATGTAGGTAAGGTAGGCTGACTAGTGATGGGATTGTCCCAAAACCCCTTTTTCCTCCTGCAGGCTTCAACGATAAGGGCGAATCGATCCCTTTCCAAGGCGGGACAAATGAAGAAGTCGTCGACAGATTATACAAGATCCTCCGAAAAGATAAAAAGGAGCAATATCTCAAAGTATATTGGTATACCGGTAAAGATCAAGTTAGACCGCTCAACGCCGTGAAGAAGCAGAGGAATTGCCATATCAAATTTGCGGCTTATGACGATGAGGTGGCTATTTTCGGGAATGGAAATCAAGGTGAGTGAGCGGGTTGAGGATTGGACGGTTACAACGATTTATTGCATCGCGTCAGCCTATCATTACTGCATGGAGTACCACGTCCTTCTTATATGTCATCGTACTGGGTAGGGTGCTGACTTGCATATCAATTGATAGACAGTCAATCTTGGTTCCATTCGCAGGAGATCAACGTGATGATCGACAACAAGGTGAGCGGAAAGATCCCCATCACATCGGACCTGAACTAGTGCTAATGGATAACCCAATGAAACGTCTTTCCGCCTAACAGCAAGTCGTAGCGGAAATGATGGAGACTCTCCTCTCGAACCAAAACACCCTCCAGTACGGCGGTGTAGATACCGATGGAATATGGCGTGACAAAGAAGGTCACACGCTCGAACATTACGGAGCTACTGCTAAAGGCGCGTTCAGAGGTTTGTCCGGCTTCATCGCTTTTGCCAAGACGATCTGATCTAGGCGCTATCACGTATACAGTAAATAGTGCTTGGTATCGGTATCGGTATCGGTATCGGTATCGGTACGGTCGAGGTCTGTCTTATTTTGGTTTGGACATTGGTGATGTAGTGATAAAAGAAGGAGAGAGGTGGTTGTACTGTACATATTAGTCTATAATAAGTGATACTTTGTACGAGTACCGTACAGTACATATACTTCTATAAATCGTGCGTCTTACATATCTTTGCAGTAGGTTCAGTACATATAATACTCGTAATGTATACATATTGGTCTGTCACACGCGTATAAACAAGTAAGAAACGTCATGTAGCACGAACGTTGGAAGGTTTTCCACAGAGGTCAGTTGTGAAACCTGTATCATCGTATCTGTTAGAGGAGAGAGGAGAAGGAGCCTTGTGCTCTCCTTTTGTCGGTCGGACCAATCATCCGTCGGAAGCCTCATTGAGCCACCCATCCTTGCTCAAAAGACCCTCGGGGATCAAATCATCGTCGTAATCGATATGCCGGGTTCCGTCGAGGCTGGCGCCCAATCCCCATGCAGCCATGAGCGGGTCCGTCAGGTCAAGTGGTCCAAAAATGCCCAGGACGAGATACTTTTCGAAGTCGATTTCTCTCTCATCCGAATCCTCGTCCTGCCCCGCATGCTCCCTTGCCGTTCCTTCCCCTTCCGCGTCATTCGTTCTATCTTCGTCGGACTTGCTATCATCTTCACCCTCGCTCGATTCGGCCACCGCTCCGTATATCGCGTCCGGTTCCATGTCGGGTGGAAGGCCGTCATCCTTGAGCTCATATCGCTCCACTAGACGTTTGACGTACTATGTGCAGATTGTAGGAGGATGATTGTGAGCTCGGATTATCACCATGTAGCCACGACGGTATGAACTCGTCTTTTTACTCACTTTCTTGATAGACCTTTCTGCATCTTCACGCTCGGAGAATGTAAATTTGGGTTGAGGGAGGATATCGAGCTGTCATGCAGGAGCAAATCGATAGTCAGCCAAATCCGGTCGTTTGGGCACACCCAGGTTACTGCACAATAAAACACTCACGATAGCTATGACGAGATCTTGCAATACCAAAAGAAATGCGATAGCCATGTACTGAGGCTGGCCATTTGCTCCAGGCATCTCCTTACCATTTTTTGTCCTTCTTGACTGAGCGTAAGACTCTCAGTTTGAGGTATGCTTTCAGACGGGCTACAGTATTGTCGTGGTTGAATGAGGTGTATCTCGTCAGCTGCAGTACATTTGTACAGGTTCCGTACGCGCGGCACTCGTACCGTTCCGACAGAATGCCTATAGTATACAGTATGGGATTGGACCAACTCACAAACCATTCCCTCCTTGGTTCGTTCTTTTCCGACGAGCTGCCCTCCTCCAAGAGAGTCCGCACCTCGATCCCTATGACACTTGGCAATATCATGCAGTAGAGGCATGATCCGTTTTGTGTGATCTGGAGATCCTTCCAAGCGGCAACTCAGTAGTGTGATGATTCGCTGGCGATACTCGTGAGGACATTTTTTGGCCGCCTGTTCATTGGTACATTTCGTCTGTATCCTCCTCAATACTGGAAACTCCTCGTGCAACAAGCGAACGAGTTCGTCTCCAGGTGTTTCATTCTCTTCTTCAGAACTGGGGATGTCGGGAGACATTGTGAGCAGAGAGGTATGTGTGGTGGCCTGGCGGGACGAGGTATTACCAGTAGTTAAAGGCGGCTGAGCGGTTCGGTATCACTTAGGATATTGATGAAGCTGAGAAAGAAGAATCGTGATGGGAGGCTGTAATGCATAGTTTCACATCTGTACAAGATACATGACATACACTCCCACGCACATCACTCGTACGCACATTGAGCGGCAATCATTTGTTCAAACAAGCAGGGTGATTCGGATTAGCTGACTGGACTAATCATTAGTCGACTCAAGTAATAAAGTACAGTATTGGATATAGATGGACTGGCATGCCACACACACGCATACATAGACATCACTTCACACCGCGTCGCAACACAACAATCAATTCATCTTCACTTCTACTCTCATACTCTTTGACGTACAGACTTTCCCCAAGCTCATTCCCGAGGATGAAGCCGTCGTCGACATTTTTGCCACGGTTGTGAGTGGCGGATACAGTAAGCCGTGATGCCCTGAGTCAAGTGCTCTCAAGTCGAGCGCATCGCGGCCCTGATGAATCACCTGGTATGCCCCCAGGGCAGAGAAGATCAGTATCCTCAAGCAGAGAATCGGTAGACTGTTGGATTAGCAGAAGCAGACGATCGATAGACTTCAGGAGATCGCAGCGGGGCTGTTACCACTTGAATCACCCAAACTCGCCCAGGGGAGGCGAGGGCGATAAACGTTGGTGCGGTATGTTGGCAAGACGATTCCGCATACATACTTCACGAGTTGGGCTATGCACGTTAGAATTCGATAGCATTTCGTACATTTGGATGATAAAATATACGAGGCGATAGCCAATACATACGGTGGTCAGTGTCAGTCCCAAGCGTCGCAACACAACACCTTTCTCCGTCCTTCCACTGTACTTTCGTAGTCATCCCATCATACATCCATACTACTGTAATTGATCGTGAATCTTAGATCGAGCAGGATTGGAGCCAAGTTACGCCAAGTATTCTCTGCACAGCCATGTCCAGGTAGTAGGGAGCGTGTGAAGGGCACACGAAATGCAAGTACATGCACAAATTCATTATTGCTTCAGTATGACCAGTGAGATCGGTACGAGTACAGTGATGAGTGGCAGATCGTTGCTACGGTGTACTGTAGATAGGTACGATCAGGGACAAGCCAAGATCAGAGACGAGCACGATGTGTGGCAGCGGCGCCAGGAACGTAATCAACTTGCGGACATGGCGAATTATCGTTGTTCTACCCGAGATTCTGCACACCTCTTCCGATGTCTAGTCAGATCTGATACTCCATTCATGAGCTATGGTGCCAGTGCGTGAGAGACTGCCCTAGGGTAGTCGCTGTGAGAACGCGACACTGTTGGTGCGCTTGCACCTCGGTAAGAGGGACCTAGCGACTAGCCTATTCGGCTCTTTTCGCTCATCACCGACCCAATCCCTTCACGAAACTTCGGGACAGGGCGAGTAGCGCAAGTGATCGAGGTCACTAGACCATGGAGCGGGGGTTATACCTACTGCTGCAACGGCTCCTCGGGTAACCATGATTGAGGCACTACATATACCAGCTGCTGGTGCGAGTTTTTATTGAATGGTCACGTGATGGAGTTGGTCACCATACCTGTCTAACAGTGTAAAACTGAAATTGCACAGGAGGTCGGCAGTTCGATCCTGCCCGGGATCATCTTTTTTAAGCCCTTTCGATCATGTGATGTGTATGTTTTGTCGTTCTTTTGCATTTGAGCGAAATGAATTGAAACCGTGGACTGTGGAAAGAGGTTGGTGGGGTGCCACCAGTCCCGCCACGAAAACTAGGTTTTGTTTCACGTGGCGCGCGTCGCCGCTTTTTCCAGTGGCTCAACGTAGCTATCAGTCCAGTCTGTCACTCACGTGGCCCCCTTATGTCCCGAGTTATAGATATACCCCGCCGCTCTATGCTCTTCCTACCCCCATGGTACAGCGATGCATGACATGTACCAAAGAGCATCACGACTTGTCGACGGTTCTATATCTCAGAATGGGACAATTGGATTGAACCAGGCGCGCGTGGCAAGAGTAGGGGTTGTAGCGGGCGTCGCCGCTGTGGGGATTCTCACACCACGGAAGTGGCAGCCGTCTCATCATTCCTCTCAAATGCTCGACCATCGTGAATCGAAGTCTCAAAATAAAGAAGCATTCCAAAAAGGTTGTTCACATGCTAAAAAGATTGATCCCGGGCAGGATCGAACTGCCGACCTCCTGTGCAATTTCAGTTTTACACTGTTAGACAGGTATGGTGACCAACTCCATCACGTGACCATTCGATGAAAGCTAGGGTATCTGAGTCAGACATAAACGTTGCCTGCAAAGTAATGGACTGATTCGACTGGTATACAACCCGTTTCACATCCGCTTCCTTTCAGGCGGCCACAGGAAAGAGGATCAAGCCGATTCAGTGTCTAGAGGCACGCATGAGGCGAGTACAAGCCATGAGACCGAAGCAAGGACGTCAGTGCCACACTCACCTGTTGACCTGACTTTAATATCGACTTGCACCGCCTCTGACAAGCGTCTACCGTAGGCTTGCTTCTGAATTGAGGACAACGAGTCTACCTGAGGCTTCCATGCATACTTCTCGTGGACATGGGAAATGTACGGGTTGTAGCTGGATATTGACGGTCAACACGGGCGCCAACGCGAGAGAGGTGGTAAGGTGGTTATTAAGTGCCGGGAGCAAATAGTGCCATTACCAAGGTTACAAGTCAAGCGTTCTGCATGACAAGCTCGAGAACACTTCACAAACCAGAATACTAATACTATCGTGCTAGCTATTTGCGTCCAACTGTAACATCAACTCATCAACCCCGTACTCAGCTACATTGCTATTATCTGCGGTATAACAGTGCGAAGACCATCAGAAATATAGGATTCGCCAAAATGGGACGAATGGCAGAGATGCAGCGCAGGCTGCTTGAGGTGAGCTCGTCTTTCGAAGAGTAATCAAATCAACGTCGGTTATCGGGTCTGAATGCTCACTCATGGCTTGCGACTTTTTACTACGACCGAATTCTACATTCTTACTAACTTCCGTTCAATGTGCTGCGACTCCTACGCTCGATTGTGGTCTGGCTGCCCCTTGGACAGCAAATGATGGGACCGGAGGCGATGGGTATTCAACCTGTCAATGTCGACTGGTGGTCGGAGAGAGTGTGCCGAAATTTCCTATTTGGCACTTGTCCTCATGTTCTGTTCGGTAACACTGTAAGTCGAGGTAGTGTCAAACACTACGTACACGGTGTAAGACGTGACGTGCAGTGTACAGCTAGTCGAGGGAAAACGGAAACAGGAGCTGACTGCAAAGATTTGATTTTCATAATCGCTTGTTTTGAGCAGAAAATGGACCTCGGACCATGCCCCAAAATCCACCAAGACCGAATTCTCAAGCAGTTCCAAGAACACGCCTTGGCTCACCCTGCCGATCCGAGAGTAGCCGCTTTCAGGCAAGAACACGAGAACAACCTTTACGGAATTGTGGATGATGTCGACCGAAGGATCAGAGCCAGTCAGAGAAAGTTGGAGAAGACGCCAGAGGAGAATAGGAAGACCATTGATTTGGTACGTTGCAACGCATTTTGGAAAGAGGGGGGGTTTCAACGTGAGATACTGACTGATCATACTGTACTTTGTTGCCCTATACGCCCCTTAGATGCGAGAAATTGGCGAGATCGAGTTGTCTATCCAAGGCGGAACAGAAGAGATTGAAGCTCTGGGTGAAGCTGGAAAAGTCGAAGAATCAATGGACAAGCTAGCAGCTGTGGATGCGTTGAAACAGCTCAAGTCGGACAAGGAGAAAGAATTGCAGCATCTGAATGAGAATGCCGGTGCGAGTGGACATCAGAAGCTGCGTGTTTGTGAGACTTGTGTGAGTTACAACACGATACTTTACTTTGCGGATATCTGATTCGCAAGGGGTCACTTTGTCGTCCAGCCTTGGGGACTCTTCGCTGACATTAATTTGACTGGTTCTGATCGTATACAGGGCGCCATGCTTTCCGTCTTGGACTCGGACAAGCGATTGGCCGATCATTTCGGTGGTAAGGTGAGTGCATACAACCCTTCATGCCTATAATATCCAGTCCCTTGAAAGTATATCCGCCAGTATCTAATTGCCTTATTTTTTCACTCTCCTCCAGCTCCATTTGGGCTACCACGAGCTTCGAAAATTACTTGGCGTCTTCGCCGAAGCTCGAATGACAGGTAGACCATGGCCCATCATCCCCGTCAAAGATAAGCCCGAATCCGCCGATGCCGATGCCGATACCGATGCCAACGCGAATGCCGCCGAAGCGCCAGTCCCTTCCGCACCTGCTGCACCTGCTGCTCCTGCCGGACCAAGATCAACAACTTTAGCCCCACCACCTTCAGGTCCAAGTGCCGGTGAAGCGCCCCATACACCCGTGCACTCCAAGATCCCACCAGCAGATGAGATTCCGGCTGTTGGCCATGGTGATAAAGTGAAGCGAGAAGCCGGGGAACTTGAGGACGATTTAAAGGAACGAAGAGGGAGTCGAGATGAGGGATCAGTCAGTGGTCACAGAGAGTCTGGATCTGGATCGAATCATCGAAGTAGTAGGGATAGGGAGAGGGATGACAAGTATGATAAATACGACAGAGAGAGGTAAGTGGGCTATTTTATTATACTTGAGCGTAGAAGACAGTATGAGCTGTTCAGTTTACGATTCCTGACCATATTTTCCCCCGTTGTATTTGCAGAAGCAGCAGATACGACGACCGAGACAGACGAGATCGTGATCGAAGCGACCGGGACAGAGACAGGAGCGACCGGGACCGAAGTGACCGAGACAGAGATCGAAGTGACAGATATAGGGAGCGGGACGGAGGTGATCGTGATAGGGACAGGTCCGATAGAGAGAGGAGGCACGAGAGGGAGCGATCTCGTTCCCCGTCAAAGAGGAGGGTATTGTAAGCCAGATGATGAAAGGACTAGGGACTAGGCCGGGTTCTTTAACAAGTTAAGCGGTGGATCACTCGTCCAGAAGGACTATCCAAGCGGAGTTTGGATATAACGAGTGAGGGTCATTCTTTCTCTTCACACTTCACTCAAAGTGGAGCGTAGGACCGTAGTACCGCAGTACCGCGGTATAGTATTTACAAGATGATGTATAGCATGCAAGATGACCATCTGATACCGTACAAGCTATAAGCTACAGCTACATTGCTAGATCTCACCTCTGATCGTATCAACACAAGCCCCAAGATCGAGAGGTCAAGTTGCCGGTCCCGGTCCCATTTCCTCCTGCCCGCCCGGCGTCATGGTAAAGGGGCTGCTAATGCGATATCTATTTCTACTGCTAGATGTCCCGTAGGTCCCGCCGCACCGTCTTTCTTTCCACCTTCGCTTCGCTCCGTTTAGCTCGAACAACTACATTGGAAACCTAGCATTTCCTTATTACCCAACCCGCACAATCGTCGATCTTCTTCCCACTCTGCTTTCGTCGAGCCCTTACCAGGCCATTCGGCACCTTCGCCATAAGGTTCGAACGGTCGAGTAGACATCTGAAAAAAACCAAATGACCAACAAGCGCTTATCAGTCCACACTCTCTCACTGAATGGGTTTGTGCTACACTTCCTCTTATTCTAGGGAACATAGTTGAACGTTACAGGACTTCGTTGCCATACCATACTCTTTGAAGGCATATTTCAATCTGCGCACAAAGAAAGAAGCTTTTACTCACATCTAAGATCTTGGCCAAGACCCTCCTGGCCTCTCTGATCCCCTCATCGACCTTCCATTCTTCCGGCGGTGCACTACCGTCCCCTTTCTCCTGCGCCTCGATATAAGGGTTCGTGAGAGCCTGTTCCATCTTGGAGATAGTCTCTTCCAACACCCATTGACGAAGTACGAATCGGGGATTAACCGCTTTCATCTCTTTCGACCTAGCCGCCTCAAACTCTTCATCACTGTTGCCAGCATATGTATATGCTGCTTTCTCTGCTTCTGAAGAAGCCCGACTAGCGTAGGTTCTCAGCCACCCTTTGAACGCTTCTTGAGCTGGACCAATCGAGTCGGCCGGACGGGAAGTCGTCGTCTGCTTGATGAAATCCGATACGAACGTGTCGAGATAACCCGTATTATTGGCGATAGCTTGAGCAGGTTTGAATGAAGAGAGCAGCCTGAAAGAAGTGTGGAAATCTATCGAATGGGCTTGGAGGAGATTGAGGTAGTCGGATGTGATATCGCGATCGTCGGAGTCTTTGTATGTCTTCAGGCCGAAACGCTGCAAAAGTGACACAAGGGCAGGTGTCAGTTCTGTCTCAATCTGATGCTCATGCGATCGGCTAAAGAAGGACGGTACGACATCCTGTCGCATCTCGAAAAAAAAGATTAACGTGTGTGAAGGGAGTGGGGCCTCCTACAGAATCCGGCAGTTAAACTCACTTTGGACCACCCCTTCCTCTCTTCATCCTTCTGTACATCCCAAAACACCTTCTCCCACCCACCCATCACTTCCTCCGCCTTACTCTCCCACTCTTTTCGAGTATCTTTGCTAAGACCCTGGCTGAACCCAGCAGCAGGCGGGGTAGAGTGGATCGCTTCGTACCCTATCAAAGGGGAAAGACATGCCACTAATTTATCCAACGCGAAGAGGACTCGAGGGGGTTGATTCCTGTACGAATAGAGGCCAGACGGGTCCGAGTGGTCTATAGCACAAGCCCAGAAAACGAACAGAGAATATTGAGTCACCCGCCATCCCGCGGCGAGAGAGTAAAGCAATGCAAAAAAGTCGCGCGAGGCAAGTCGGTGGGGTGAATCTTTTTCTGCTCCACTCACTGCAGATATGTTTGTCGTCAAAGACGTCCATGAATGCATAGGGACCGAAATCAATCGTATCTCCCGTCAAGCTGATATTGTCCGTGTTGAGCACACCGTGCATCCAGCCGTATACCTATGAATATTGGCAGATGCGAATTTCGAGTCAGCTTCAGTATTCAGTCCGAATGTCCAACACTCGAATTGATTTCCTACATACTGAAGGAAACAGTGAAATCTAGGACAGGGTTGAGGGGTTTCACTCACCTGCCACTGGGCCACAGTCTGCGCATTCCTCTTGACTACCTCCTCGACCCACTCCTTGATCGAACTATCTTTCATACCCATGATATCCCCCTTGACCCACTCTGTCAATTTCCTCAATCCCTCCAAATTTCCTTCTTGCTCTTGGTCCCCATTCTCAGTCTGATCGTTCAACCACCCCGATCCACCGAGATAGAACTGCCTCATCCCTGTATCTGATGC